GTACGTACTACACACACACACACACACACACACACACACACACACACACACACACCTCTCTCTCTCTCTGACTTCGGGCACTGAGAAAAATACAGGTCACCACACCAGATGGGGATTCCTCTGACTCTAATAGTCTTTCATCTTCTGTAGGAAAGTGATTAGGTCCGTTGGATTTATGCAGCCAGTTGATTTTATTTCTCCCCCTGGAAACCCAGTTTGCTTCTTTCTTGGTTTACTTTCCTCTTAAACAAAGGCTGCAACCTCCAGGGAGAAGGAGAGAGACCAACGCACAGAGAGAGAGAATGGCTGTTGAGAGAAATGAGACAGAGGAACAAGGGAGGGGAAGAGAGATTCAGAGCTGCTCCTGCAGGAGCTAGGTGTCTGGACTTTCTTGTGTTAAAGTTGCAGAGCATTCTGAATAAAGAGCAAGTCTTCCTTGGGACCCACTGCTGCCTCTCAAAAACTGTAAGTACAAGACACTTTTCAAGTATTTCTTTGGCAGCTGAGAGAAAATTCCGCGCTCACTAGAGGTCATTGGGTTATTAGCGTGTGTGTATGAGTGCAAGCCTTGCAAGGGAACAGCTTCTTTCACACATGAGCATAGCTTTTAAGGTGCAACCTGAGATGAATCTTTAAGAGCATCGGTGTTCTCAAAAAGAAATGCGTGGGTCAGGCCAGGGTGGTAATTTCCTCTCAGTGGTTGCTTTTTAATGGCTTCAAAACTAAGGTTGCATTGTATATAAATTCTCAGAGGGTGCTTCTAGTTGGCATCTCCTGAGGCTATATCTGTGGGGCTGCGGCTCACTGTGCCACAATCCAAAGCCAGACGGTGTCAGTCTTTTGCAGTCCAGGCCAATCCTTGAAGGAAGAGGCCCAGATCCTCAGTTGGTATAAAGGGGTGAAGTCAATGGATCTATGTTAATTTACCCCAGTTGAAGATCTGGCCCAAGCTCCTTAAATTATATTTATAGAGATGGCCTAAATACCACAAGGCTGGGTGCCTCGCAAATATGATTAATGAGGCTGAAAGATATGAAAGTGAAACTTGCATATTTGATCCAGTGAAAAATAAAATGACTGACTTATAGAGAGCAACAGTAGTTATGACTGAGTGGGAATGAGGAACACAGCATGGGGATTAGGAAGATCAGGAAAGGGTCAGCGTTTGCTATGTGAAGTGGATTGTTTTTCTTTTGTAGGAATTGTAGCTCTGAGTCTCTCATTAGACAAATCCCAGGGTGAATCAAGCAGTCCAATAAATCTTGCTATGTCCTCCGAGGCTCCCCAGCCACACAGGGACGAGGGATAATTTGCATCCCTCTCTGTCCTAACAGGCAGAATTTCCAGAGGTGTGGTGCCCACCCCCTCTAAAAATCAGACTGTCATTTCTTTCCCTTCTGCCCCTGCTCTGGGGCTCCTACAGATTTACCCTTGCCCTGCTGTTAGCTGTGGAATATTTCCTTGCAAATGCTGTTCTGTCCTCCCGTTTAGCAACATCGGGAAAATTACATTTGGCATAAGACAGCAAATAACAATCTCCAGGGGCTGGTAATGGGGTTAAAACCAGGCAGGAAGTTAAATATTCATAGTCTGCTGTCTTTGCATTAAAACTGTGTGCATATAAATTAAGAATGAGCGACATGAACTGCCCATTGTAGCAAAGGCCTCTTCTCTCCTCATTCCCATTTACCAATACAATCTTTTCCCTCTCTTTCCACACCCAAAGCATCTTTTCCCCTGCACGACATTTTCCAGCCATGTAATCCTGGAAGAAATAGGGCTTGTCGGGGTTTTGTCGGGTTTTCTGGTAGCTGTCGAGAGACTTGATTCAATTTGATGGGAGGTCAGCAAATGTCAGATTTAACCAGAATATATATATATAATCTAGAAACCTCAGCTGTCAGGCCTTGTGCAAAGGGGAAATGATGTTGGCACCAGAGTCCCTGTTTTCAGAATGATTTGAAGCCTTTGCAGCTAAAATGTGGCATAAATTGGGGTTGTTTGAAAGCACAGGATGGTAACTCAATACTGTGCGGGGCAGGCTAATCATCAAATAATACTCTAAGCTCATAGCTTTCAGATCCGCATATGGAAGGCCTTCCTATCCACAGATATTGCTGAGCTTAGCTGCACAGCTTTCTGCGAGGGTAGCAACAGCAGGGAGAGGCTTTATTTTTACAGGATCATGCCGTAAAGCATGGAAATCTTTAGGAGGAGGACCAGATTTCCAAGCGCTCAGCACTCACAAAAGGCGTCCGAGTTTCAAACAAGACACTGCTCCTATGTAGGCACCAAAAGAAATGGCCAGAGTTCTAGGGGAGCTCAGCAAGTTGAGTGCCCACTGGGTGCTGAGTGCTTGGAAATCTGGCCACATTATGTGTGTTGAGCACTGAGAAATCTGGCTTGTTGCTTTTCTGAAAATCTGCCCCACAGTGTGTTTCATGCTTCGCTCATTGGCTATGTCTTCACTGCAAAAAAAAAAGGTGTATTTAACATCAAGCTTGGTTTCTCAGTGTAAAATTCTGAGAGAATTTTTTACCTCCTAGCAGAGGTCAACCCCAGGTGGTGGGCAGAGAGTTGACCTTGAATAGCTGCATCAAGATAAAAACAACAATGCCTTCTTTCCACTAGGATTTTACATCGAGTAATATAAAAACCCTCTTCTGTTTGCAGTGAGAGCATAACCAACGAGGCCTGATTCTGCTCGCCTTGGGGCTTTTGTCACTGATGTCTATCGGCCCACGAATCGAGCCCTTGGCACTAGGTTCACCTTGGCTGAAATTCATCCAGAACATTCCATGCAACTACCCCAAAAAAGCACGTGAATTAAATGATATATATTTTTAGATGAGCCGAAGCAGCTGATTTTGATGATAGTGATTCATTTCAAGGTTTACAGGACATTTGCTTGTCTGGAACATTTCAGGACTCTGTGTGTTTATTTAAAATACATTGCATCCTGCCAACTTTTTGTGCATGTAGTAACAGAACAAAAAAGGTTGAAGGAAATATTCACAATTATTCTCTTCTCCCTCCCCCCAATTTGGTCATATTTTGATTCTCCATAAGCTTCCTGCCGTGTTCTAGAAAACTGTGATTTTATTTTTTTTTGTTCCTGTTGTATTGTCAGGAAGCTCCAAGTTCAGATGTTTAAAATGCTACTTTTTGCTTCTCTGTTAAAGGCATATGTAACAGGGTATGTTGGCACTATAAGGCAGGCCTACAGTCCAGTTCTTTTCTGAACATTTCACCAAGGTGAATCGATTTGAGTCTCCCATCCCTCTTGCAGGTGCATTGCATTGAAAAACATTGAGTTTCTGTTTAAATAACAAAGCAAAGACACTGCTCCCGTTTAGGATAAGTGGGATTTTAAGGCTGCAGGGGCTAACTCAGCCCTGATGTAACTCCATTGACTTTAGAGCTGAACTTGGCCCTAGTCTGAAATAAACCTGAGTCTTTACTAGATGACTAATAGGATGCTTAGTCATTGCCCTCCGGAGCAAGCGATCAGATGCTACACGCAGTCTCAATAAAATTAAGCATTGAGTCCTGCTCCAGAGCGTACACTGACTTCATTTGCGTTTTGGATCAGGCAGTAGGTGAAGCTGTCCACACTGAGCAGCTGGTGTGCAGCACCACATGTGTACCTGCTCCCGGACTCGAGATGTCTACATAAGAACGGCCATGCTGGGTCAGACCAAAGGTCCATCTAGCCCAGTATCCTGTCTTCCAACAGTGGCCAATGCCAGGTGCCCCAGAGGGAATGAACAGAACAGGTAATCATCAAGTGATCCATCCCCTGTCACCCATTCCCAGCTTCTGGCAAACAGAGGTTAGGGACACCATCCCTGCCCAACCTGGCTAATAGCCATTGATAGACCTATCCTCTATGAATTTATCTAGTTCTTTTTTGAACCCTATTATAGTCTTAGCCTTCACAACATCCTCTGGCAAGGAGTTCCATAGGTTGTGAAAAAATACTTCCTTTTGTTTGTTTTAAACCTGCTGCTTATTAATTTCATATGGTGGCCCCTAATTCTTGTGTTATGAGAAGGAGTAAATAACACTTCCTTATTTACTTTCTTTTCTTGGCAACAGTGCAACCAGTCTGGGGAGCTGTCATGATTTTATAGATCTCTATCATATCCCCTCTTAGTGGTTTCTCTTCCAAGCTGCAAAGTCTCAGTCTTATTAAGCTCTCCTCATATGGAAGCCGTTCCATACCCCTAATCATTTTTGCTGACCTTTTCTGAACCTTTTCCAATTCTAATACATCTTTTTTGAGATGGGGCGACCACATCTGCACACAGTATTCAAGATGCAGGAATACCATGGATTTATATAGAGGCAACATGATATTTTCTGTCCATTTACCTATCCCTTTCTTAATGATTCCCAGCATTCTGTTCGCTTTTTTGACTGCTGCTGCACATTGAGTGCATGTTTTCAGAGAACTATTCACAATGATTCCAAGATCCTTCTTGAGCGGTAACAGCTAATTTAGACCCCATCATTTTATAGGTATAGTTGGGATTATGTTTCCAATGTGCATTACTTTGCATTTATCAACATTTAAATTTCATCTGCCATTTTGTTACCCAGTCACCCAGTTTTGAGAGAACCTTTTGTAGCTCTTCACAGTCTGCCTGGGACTTAACTATCTTGAGTAGTTTTGTATGATCTGCAATTTTTGCCACCTCACTGTTTACCCCTTTTTCCAGATCATTTATGAGTATGTTGAATAGGACTGGACCCAGTGCAGACCCCTGGGGGACACTATTATTTATCTCTCTTTATTCTGAGAACTGACCATTTATACCTACCCTTTGTTTCCTATCTTTTAACCAGTTACCAATCCACAAGAGAACCTTCCCTCTTAGCCCATGACTTCTTACTTTGCTTAACAGCCTTTAGTAAGGGACCTTATTAAAGGCTTTCTGAAAATCTAAATATACTATTGCCACTGGATCCTGCTTATCCACATGCTTGTTGGACCCCCCCCCCCTCAAAGAATTCTAGTAGATTGGAGAGGCATGATTTCCCTTTACAAAAACCATGTTGACTACTCCCCAACTAATTATGTTCATCTATGTGTCTGACGGTTTTGTTCTTTACTATAGTATCACCCAGTTTGCCTGGTACTGAAGTCAGGCTTACTGGCCTGTAATTGCCAGGATCACCTCTGGAGCCCTTTTTAAAAATTGGCATCACATTAGCTATCCTCCTGTCATTTGGTACAGAAGCTGATTTAAGTGATAAGTTACAGACTACAGTTAGTAGTCCTGCAATTTCGCATTTGAATTCCTTCAGAACTCTTGGGTGAATAACATCTGGGCCTGGTGACTTATTACTGTTTAGTTTATCAGTTTGTTTCAAAACCTCCTCTAATGATACCTCAATCTGGGACTGTTCCTCAGATTTGTCACCTAAAAAAAATGGCTCATGTTTGTGAATGTCCCTCACAT